TCCGTGACTTAACAAACGACCCAACTACCCATCCCGGATATGTGGTTCGACACAATGTTTTGTATTACAAGGATAGATTGGTGATTCCTCGTACATCGAAATTGATTCCTTCTCTTTTAAAGGAATTTCATACCTCTCTTACCGGGGGACACTCGGGATATTGTCGAACCTATCGTCGCTTGGCCACAAATTTATATTGGCCAGAAATGATCTCTGTGGTGCAAGAATTCGTGAAGGCTTGTAACATATGTCAGCGATATAAGGCCAGTTCAACGTCTCCAAGTGGGTTGCTCCAACCACTCGACATCCCAAATGCGATAGGGGAACACCTATCCATGGATTTTATCTTGGGTTTACCCAAATCTAAAGGCTATGATGGTCTTCTAGTGGTGGTGGATCGATTGTCCAAACACCCATATACCACTAAGTCCGTGGCAAAAAGTTTTGTTCAGGAAGTGGCCAAACATCATGGAATTCCTAAGTCCATCGTCAGTAACCGCAATCCTTTGTTCCTCAGTCATTTTTGGCAAGAGCTTTTTCATTTGCAAGGGACGAAGCTAAACATGAGTTCCGCTTATCACCCGGAATCGGATGGTCAGACAGAAGTGATAAACCGTTCTTTAGAAACGTATCTGCAGTGTTTTGCTATTGATCAGCCATGTTCATTGGCATTGTGGGTTCTGTGGGCAGAATTTTGGTATAATTCAACCTTTCACGGTTCCACAGGTCGATCTCCATTTGAAATAGTCTATGGCCGTAAGCCCCCGATGGTGGTTAAATTTATTCCGGGGGAAGTTTGAGTGGAAGCAGTAGGGGATGAATTACGTGACCGTGACGAAGCTCTGAGACAAATCAAGTCGCTTCTAATTCATGCTCAGGCTTTGATGAAAGAACATGCTGATAAAAGGGGTCGAGATATGAGTTTTCAGATTGGAGAATGGGTTTATGTTAAGTTGAAACTGTACCGTCAAATGACGGTGACTAAACGGATTTATCAAAAATTGGCAGCTAGATTCTTTGGACCGTGCAAGATTATCGAAAAGATTGGACCAGTTGCTTACAAACTGGATTTACCTTGCATCCGGTGTTTCATATCTCATTACTAAAAAAAGTTGTTTTGTCGCCTACGGTTGCTCAAATTTTACCTCCCGAGCTAGAATTAGATGACAAAGATTTACCGTCTCCCAAAGAGATTTGTGTGGTATGTATAGTTGTACAAGATGGGAAATCAGTGGAGCGATGGCTAATACATTGGCAGGGGCAGTCTCAGGAAGAAGCACGTGGGAGGATGCAAACGTAATCAAGGGTCAATTTCCGGATATAGGCATGGCAACGGGGCGAGGATGGGGCGGGTTTTGTAATCCCCTGCCCCGATTTGTAGTAATATCCCCCGGCCCTGGCCCCGGTTTAATCCCCGTACCCGGTCAAACCTCTATCAATCCCCGGTCAAACTCCATGAAGAATATCCCTTAGTTTGATTCTACCGGGGATCCCCGGTACGGTTTGAGTCTATCGGGGATCCCTGGGCCTGGGATCCGTTTTAGCAGGGAATCCCCGTCCCCGTTCAGGTCGGGTGAACCGGGTTTCCCACCGGGTCGGGGCAAATCACCATCCCTATCCGGATACAAGTCTTGAGAACAAGACTTTATTGGAAGGAGGGAGTAATGATACGGATCCTTCTAATCTGATCCAATTTTTACCCAAGCCTGTTGAATGTTTATTCTAGACGCCCCAAAAGAGTGGAAGATAGGGGTGGGCCCAATTAGCTATTACAGATGGAAAGCGTGTCTAATAAATGGCGGGAATGCCGGTAGCATGAAGTCATTGTGATTTTTCTTGTTAATTGAGTTGGGCTCTTAGTTGTGGCTTTGAGAGATGGAAGTTTTCCGTGTTAGTTCTTTCAACTTTAAGTTTCCAATTTCGTTTATATTCAATTGTTGATTTCCCTTTTAATCCTTTCATTCTTCCAAATTGTTTGAGTTCTTATCAGTGTAAGACTACCTTTTAACTTAGAAATTGGTCCGTGGTCCCATTGCTCAACATTGTTACAATTTTCTGGTTTTTCCATATTAGGTCTTCATTGGCAAGTAGAATTCTTGTTGTAGGAAACTGTTCGTGTTCCTTTGGTCGGTAATCATTTCCAGGTTGCCTTTTGTTTCAAGTTCAGATATTTGTTCTATTGACTGTGATAAGTGGATATGATAGTAACCTTAGGAAGTAACTGGAAGAAAGAAGACAAAGCTTCTATCGACACGAGCACACCAACAAAATACACGATAGTTATAGATAAGAACGAAAAAACATACAGGCTGACATTAGAGGTGTATCAATGTCTCATGACCCAAATCACATTTGGAATGACAGGATTGATGTTGTAGTAGCCATTAATGTAATTTGATCCTAAGCATAACAAACAATAAAATTCTTATATAACTTTAAATTCTGGAAAAGGAATGATTTTGTTTCCTGCAAAACCAAACACAACCTACGAATTCTAAGTTGGTGATTGATGATGACGTAGCAAAGTAAGCTATCATGGAGAACAAGTTTGAAAAGCCTAAGATAGAATTATTAGAATATGGTGTGAGGTTTCCTAAGTACAAGGATATGCGAACCCTTATTGGTAACTTAACTCGTAAAACCTTGGGTTTGCTCCCTAGTTTGAGTACCTTTGGACCCCTGGAGGTTTGTCTGGCTGTAAACTTCACAGTCGCATGGGATCAGTCGAGGTGCATTGGCTAGAAAACGATTGTCATGAGGCTCATTTGCAATTCTGAATACTTAAAACATACTAGGCTGAAGTTCTTGAATAAAGAGGGACATGAAAGGATAGCAAAGATAAAAATTAGAGCAAGATGAAATTATCCTAAGAGTATATATTAGGATCATTGTTGCCTCTGCCGTGTAGCTCAGTTGACAAAGGAGTTGGGTGATTTTGTTCAAATACATTGTTGCCTAGGTTCGATTCTAGGGCCGGCTAAGTAAGCCAAAAAATGCTTCATCACATTGATGTCCTTAGAGGCGGGTTCCGTGTGGGGCCCGGTTCGGGTTGCCATAATCAACTTTTTGTTCAAATATGTTAGGATCATGGTTGGTAGAGATGCATGCTAGTATTTATCTATATTGTTTATTCTTATCATCTTTTGGAAATGTGTAGGATATATATTTATCTTTATTGTTAGTCTTTTCATACATTGATATGTAATCCTTAAGAATGATTAGTAGATGATTGGATAAAAAAATGGGAGAGTTTGTTGATAAGCCGACCCATGCTGCCTCATCCCAAAATCATCAAATCAGACATATAATGGCCCATTAGCCGGTACCCACAAGGAGCTAAAACATTGAGATTGTTAGACTCGAAGCCTCGTTTATCCGTCCAAGTATACAAACCTGCAAGTTAAGTTGGAGATTAAGGGGCTGTTTGGCAGTTGCTGAATGGTTTGGTGCAGAATGGCTAAGTAGTCAGAATGGTTAAGAGGGTCAGAATGGTTAAGTCCTGAATGAAATATTGTTGTTTGGTAAATGTTAACAAATTACCATTTTAACCCTGTATGCTTTGGTCCTGTTTTTTATTGAACTAACAGATACCAAAAAAGAAATTAGGGTTTCACTTCACGTTCAACCCAAATCGAGATCAAATCCAAAAAGAAATTAGGGTTTCACTTCAACCCAAAT